AGAGAAATAAACATATAGAGATCCTTGAATTATTAAGTGCTGCTGGTTTTACCTACATCGTTCCACACAATCCTCCTGGCACCCGACGCCTTAGAGAGAAATAACTAATGTTCATAACTAGGCAGGTCCCGTTCTAGCAATTTCACACATTTATCGATTTCCTTACAACCACCCTAAGAGGTGGGTCCTCTTACCCCACGTTATGGATGAAACTGTGCCACAGGGAGAAGATGCCACTTGCTGAGGGTCACAGAGGCTGGCATTGCGATGTGAACCCAGCAGGCTGGCTCCAGAGCCCTCGTTCTGACCCACTTTGCAGGAGGTGGCTGAGGCTCAGGACTGGAACCTGGGTCCAGCTGATGCAAACTCGGTGGGTGCCCTTTCCATCATGCCAGCCTGTCTCCTGAACTGTGAGACCAGTGAGGGTTGCTGCAATAGCACAGGTGAGGGCCTCCTCTAGGGCACGGGAGATGGGCAGAGGCAAGTCAGAGTCATTAGAATGAGCAGCAGCAAACTAGAGGCGAAGGGCCAGGCCTGGTGGCCTCCCAGCAGGCTATGCCAGGGACTGGGGGTCAGATCTGAGAGGAGCAGACAGATTCTCCCTGGGGCTTGCAGCCCTGGAAGCTGTGAAGTGTTGGGAGGCCTGGGCTCTAACTAGCAGTGTGATTGTATAAACGCCTTTCACCTCCTGGGGCCTCAGTCTCGCCCTCTGCAAGACAGTGGGTTAGCCGCTATGATCTGAGGCTCCTCTCGCCCTTGCTTCTCAGATTCTCAGGGTTCTGCACAGGTGGCTGCTCCCCCTCCCCCTCCACTACCCTCCCCTGCTGTGCTGGTGCCTCTCCGCTAATCAGGAGCTTGTTGCCAGGTGGCCTGAGGCCCCCGGAGAATCCCTCCACTCCGCCTCCCACCAAAGAGCCAGGGTGATGCAATCTGCCTGCAACCGTCACCTCACTCCACAAATCTGGTCCTTCCGAACTGAAAAAGAATCCCCCACAGCCCCTCCCATGCCACCAGCCCCAGCTCCAGTAGAAAGGGCTGGGACACCCGGACCCTGGAGGACTCTTCCAAGCTGGGGGAGGCGGAGGCTTCTGAATCCTGGAGGGGCCACAGGTCCCGTCACGGATGGGCACAAAAGCAGGCTCTGGGTGCCTAGACCGGGGTTCACAGGCAGCCACTATGACCCACTGCACATGAGTTAGAATGTGCCTGGAAGGGCTAGGCCACTAAGGGTGAGAACTGGCACCCACTCAGCATGACTGAGTCAAGATCTTGGGTGGGGCAGTCGGCACCAGGGTTGAACTGGTTGGGATCCAACAGCTGCAGAGAGAAAAGGCACCAGGTCCCTGCCCCAATGTTTTCTCAGTCAGCATACCCTGCACCCAGCCAGCAATATGATTCCCATACAGAGCTAGTTCATGTCCAGTTATTAAAAAACACCCTAGCCCTAGCTGGTGTGGCTCAGTGGATAAAGCACCGGCCTGTGGACTGAAGGGTCCTGGGTTCGATTCCGGTCAAGGGCACATGCCGGGTTGTGGCCTCAATCCCCAGTGGGGGGCATGCAGGAGGCAGCCAATCAATGATTCTATCATTGATGTTTCTATCTCTCTCCTTCTCCCTTCCTCTCTGAAATCAATAAAAAATATTTTAAAAAAATCCTATCTGACCATCCTCTCAAAAACCCATAATCCCAGTCTATGAGACGAAATCAAACGGAGGGACTTTCCACAGAATAGCCAACTGGCCCTGGTCATGAAAGGCAAGGAAAGGCAGAGAAACTGCTGCAGACCAAGGAGGCTAAGGAGATGCGAGGACTAAATGTCATATGGCATCTTGGAAGGGATCCTGGGACAAAAAAAGTCTTAGGGAACAACCAGTGAAATCACATAAAGTTGAAGTTTAGCTAATAGAAATGTAACAATGGGGGCCATTAGGTGAGGGGTGTACGAAAACTCTGTACTAGCTTTTAAATTTTAACTTTTTAATTTTTTTATTTTTGCTAATCCTCATCTGAGGATATTTTGCCATTGATTTTTAGAGAGTGGAACGGAGCAGGAGAGACACACAGAGAAGGAAACATGGATGTGAGAGAGACACATCGAGTGCCTCCTGCATGAGCCCCGACCAGGGCTGGGGATCAAACCTGGGTCCCTTCAGTCCACAGGCTGATGTTCTATCCACTGAGCTAAACTGGCTAGGGTTGTTTGTGACGATTATTTTTGTGACTTTTCTATAAACCTAAAATTACTTCCAAAAAAAGAGAAACAAACAAACACAACAACAACAAAACCTCTACCTAGTCCCAGTGCATAACCTAGAAGTTCTCAGAAGCGCGAGGGTGTGTGTGTGAGGGGGGGGACGGGTTTGACTGTGTCTCCTCACTGCCAGCAGTCTGTCCAGCACTGCCCCAATCTTCCCCTGTTATTGCTCAAATCTCTACTGACAAGTGAAAGGAGGCCGGTCCTTAAGTTTCATTTAAAAGGAAGAAGACCACAGTTTTTGTTATTTTTGTTAATCCTCACCTGAGGATGTTTTTTCCATTGATTCAGAGTGTGGAAGGAAGGGGGGAGGGAGGGAGGGAGGGAGGGAAGGAGGGAGGGGGAGGAAGGGAGGGAGGGGGAGAGAGGGGGAGAGAGAGAGAGAGAGAGAGAGAGAGAGAGAGAGAGAGAGAGAGAGAGAGAGAGACAGACAGACATTGATTGGTTGCCTCCTCCATGCAGCCCAATGGGGATTCAGGAATCGAACCTGCATCGCAGGTATTTGGTCCAGGCTGACATTCTATCTACTGAGCTACACTGGCCAGGGCACCAGTTATAGCTTTAAAGCGCTAACTGCTTAGCAATGAAGATAAAACATACCCACCCCAATAATAATAATAGTAACAGCCTCTGTGTGTCAGGCACTAGTCTAAGCACCTGACCTGTATTAACTCATTTAATCCTCATAACAGACCTGAGTAGTAGATACTGTTAATGCCCCCTCCCCCCCCAAACCACGAGGAATCTGAGGCATAGGAAAGTATAAGGGAACTCGCCAGTGTCACAGCTAGTAAGTGGGGTGCAACTAGGGTTTGAACCCAAACAACCTGGTTCCAGATCTACGACCTTAACTGCTACTCAGTGATGTCTAGGCGATAATGTAGCCTCTACCAACTCAAGGGAATATCGAGCAAGTGCTCAGATACTGGCAGAGTGGACAGAAGTGCTCTGCGGGAAAGTGGTCAGAGCCCAAGGACTTCCTGCATGTTTAGAGAAGGGGGGGAGGGGAAGCCTGCATGTCTTTACTCCCCACATAACCCTCAGGATTAGGGCTCCCCCACTTCTTTGGATTTTGATTCAGCCCCGTAACTGCCATAAGAGTGATGAAGGCTGAACTCCAGGTGTAATGTCCTGATGTGGACAGATGCAGGGCGGGAAAGAGAAGTTTCTGCCGCAGAGGAAAGACCCGCATCCACTCGGGATGGTGGAGGGCCCAGCGCGCAGGGAAGGAATGGCCAGGACGCTCCCTGTTACAAACGGTGGTACAGATCTCCCTGTTTGGGGCAGGGTTGTGAGACTAACCTAGTGGGGGGGCATCTCAGGAAGTCAGGGTGAGAGCAGGGGCAGAACGAACCAAATACCTGGCCTGAGGGCAGTGCTGTGGACACGGCTATGGGAAGGTGGGCAGTGGACGGTGAAAAGGGTGGAGTGGGGGCGAGGATGCCCAATTCCCTGCACCCGTGGGCCAAGATGGGGCTGAACACCCAACATCTGGAACGGGTGACGGTGGGATGGCTGAAAATTGCCAGCTTAGAGAGAATCACACACAAGAAGGGCCCTCTGAGGCTCTTGCCCTGCCTAGCCTGTGTGGCTCAGTGGGTAGAATGTTGGTCCAGCACCCAAGGGTCCCAGGTTTGATTCCTGGCCCAGGTTGGGACTCGGGTGGGAGGCAATCAGTCCATGTGTCTACCTCACATTGATATTTCTTTAAAAAAATATATATTATTGATTTTTTACAGAGAGGAAGGGAGAGAGAGAGCCAGAAACATCCATCAGCTGCCTCCTGCACGCCCCCTACTGTGGATGTGCCCGCAACCAAGGTACATGCCCCCAAGCAAAATCGAACCCGGGACCCTTCAGTCCGCAGGCCGATGCTCTATCCACTGAGCTAAACCGGCTAGGGCTCACATTGATATTTTTTTTCTCTCTTCCTCCTCCCTTCCACGCTCTCTAAAAATCAATGGGAGAAAATATCCTCGGGTCAGGATTAAAACAACACGTGTCTCCCCGAGGCGCTTGCCGCGGTGGGGGTAGGGGTGTGGGGAGAGTGGGGGCCCCAGAGTCCCCATTGATAATAAAATACGTCGAACGGACATGTACGAGCTGGGCTCTGTGCGTGGGGCTTCCCGAGCATCAACTTATTTGATTCTCACAAACCACCTCATCAGGCACAGCTGCCTATTCTCCTTTTGCAGACAGTTCCCTACCGATCTGAGGCCTGAGGATTTCGGTTATTTTCCCAGGGCCACCGTGGCAGGTCTGTGGCTCACGCGGGACTAAGACACCAGCATGGGGCTGGACGGAAATCCGTGAAGCAAAGGAAGAAACCAGGCCGCTGGATCAAAGGGAGCAGAAGACCGGACCCCAGAGCCTCAGGGAAGGGAGGGCCAGAACCCTCGGGGTCGGAAGAAAAAGGGAGCTGGGTCCTAGGCCGGAGGCAGGAGCGGGCCGAACTCTTGGGGTCCGAAGGAGGAAGGGGCCCGAGCCCCGAGAGGAGGAGGGGGCCAGGCCCGCCGGCCTGTTGGGGCCCCGCCGGGGCGGGGCGCGGAAGGATCCGGCGTGCCGTGCTGCGCCGCCCCCGGTATATCTGTCCCCGGTCCCCGGGGCCGCCTCATTCCCCATCCTCAGGTCACGTCAGAACAGGATCTCTCCCCACGCTGCCGCGACACCGCCTCCGCCCGCGTAGCCCCGCCATGGCTCTGTAGCCGCGACCCCTCCGTGCCCCCGGCCCGTCTCCGCGCTCACCGCGCCTGCGCTCTCCACTCCCGCCTTCTCTCTTCAGCCGAGGCCGCTGCTGCCTCTCCTTTCCGCCGCCATGGAGTGAGTAACCGCTCGTCCCTCCGGCTCCAACTGCCTTTCCCGCCCTTTCGAACCTCGCGGCCTTCACGACCAGGCCTGAGAAGGGGGGTGGGGAGTTGAGAGTGAGGGATCACGGTCGCGCAGGCGCAGAAGAGGGAACTCGCGCGTCGGCGCGCTGCCGAGCATGCGCACTCGGCCCAATGGTGGGGAAGGGAGCTTTCTTACAGAGAATGTTGGCGTTAAAGACGGCCCGCGTGCGCTTGCGCCGGCGTACTAGCCCCCAGAGAGGGTTTTACTTATTTGTTATGCGGGAACGAATCTGTCCACGCGCCGTTGCTCATGCGCATTAGCGCACCAGAGCCCGTATTTCCGTGTGAAGGGCTGGCAGTAAGCCGCTGCACATGCGCACTAGCCCCCAGGAGGGCAGAAGCGTGTGCGCCTTGGGACCGTTTCAGGGGCGGAGCATGCGCTTTGGCCATCGGCGAGAAAGCCAAGTGTGGATGGGTGGGCGGGGGCATGTGGAAGCTGGTCGCCGTCCCCTCCCCCCTCCCTGCTCCACATTGCTTAGTCGCACAGCACAGCCGCCCTGTTTTTTATTCAGGCGTCTGCTGGGGCGGGTGCTGGTTTAACTTGGGTGGAAAGCGGGGCTTTGAGACACCCTGTTAAGAATGGGGTGGAGCGATCTCTTCCTTCTCCTCCCCCTGTCCTCCCCCTTTCCTCAGAAAAAAGGAAAAAAAAGAATGGGGTGGAGCTAGGGCCACGGCCGTCGCGAAGGGTGGGGCTTACCGGAGCCATTGTGAGAGGCGGGGCTAAGCGCACCTTGAGAAGAGGGCGGGGGTTGCGATTGGAGAAAGAGGCGGGGCCTCTGGGGAATCATCGGGGAGGGGCGGGGCTAAGATAAGCAGTGGGCGGGGCTTAGAGGGACAATGGAGGTCGCTGCAGAGTTCTCAAAAGGGGAAGGATGGGATGTGAATGGATAATATTGATGAGGTTGGCGGCGGGCACAGGGGGAATTCCCCTGGGAATTGATTTGGGATGGAACCTAGGGAGGGGGTGGGGCCCTAAAGGAAATGATTGAGAAGGAGGAACGTGACTGGAAGAAAATTCCCCTGGGACTGAGTTCTTTTAAGGTGGAATATTATGGTGTGGGTGGGAGGGGCTAAAGCAGTGGTTCTCAACCTCCCTAATGCCGCGACCTTTTAATACAGTTCCTCATGTTGTGGTGACTCCCAATTTCATTGTTACAGATTGAACATAATTAAACATACTGATTAATCACAAAAACAATATGTAATGTGTTTTCCGATGGTCTTAGGTGACCCCTGTGAAGGGGTCGCGATCCACAGGTTGAGAACCGCTGCACCATGCCCCAACCCATCACATCAGCCAATCATAAACCAGAAGGTGGCCTAGAACCCAAGAAGCTAAGCCATGCCCCTGCCCAGACCTCGACAGCTAATGAGGGCCAAGCCCTACTTTAACTGCACCCTAGAGTGCTAATCTTCTGAAGGAAATTCCCCTGGGAAACCATTAGGTTGCTGTATTGGAAGGATTGGGTTTTGGGATTTTGAAGTCAGGCGTAAAGAGAACTCCCGCCCGGCTGGCGTAGCCCAGTGGTTGAGCTTCAACTTATGAACCATGTCAGGGTACATGCCTGGGTTGGGGGCTCCATCCCCAGTGGGGGGCATGCAAGAGGCAGCCGATCAATGATCCTCTCCCATCATTGAGGTTTCTGTCTCTCTCACCCTCTCCCGAACTCTCTGGAATCAATAAAAATATTTTTTTTTAAAAAAGAATTCCCTTGGGAGTGGGTAGGGCTCAGAGATTTGGGGAAGGGGCAGATTTAGGATTCTGAGAGGGCGATGTATAACCCCAATCCCAGTTGGAAGCGGGAGGGAGGACCCTGGGGCCATGGGGATGTGGCTTGGTTTCTGTACGAGTGAGGCTGGCCTGTGATCCCACCTACTTCTGTCTCACACTTGTAGGTCCTCCACTTTCACCTTGGTGCCTGTCTTCGCCCAGCTGAGCAACCTCCAGAGCCGCCTCCCAGCTGTTGGTGCAGCCTCCTTCATTGCCACCCGTGCCCAGCGCCTGTGCTGCAGCCATGTCACTCCTGGCGACCCTGGGGCTGGAGCTGGACAGGGCCCTGCTCCCAGCTAGCGGGCTGGGCTGGCTCGTCGACTATGGGAAACTCCCCCTGGCCCCTGCCCCCCTGGGCCCCTATGAGGTCCTTGGGGGAGCCCTGGAGGGCGGGCTTCCAGGGGGGGGAGAGCCCCTGACAGGTAAGGGCAGGTGGGGAATGGAGGTGGGGTGAGCTGGGACTTGGGGGGGCAGGGTAGGAGGAGGAAGAATGCATTTATTTATGAATTGGATAAGTCATTATTGAGTGCCTGTACTATGTCAGGCACTGTTTTAAGTGCTGGGGATATAATTAGGAACAAAACGAACATGATCCCTGCCCTCCTAGAGCTCACACTCTAGTGGGGAGACAGACCAGAGGAATAAAATGAGGACGTTGTGGGATAAGTGGGGAACACTTAGTTGTGAGCTAAAAAAAAATGACACCGGGACCTAGTTTAGAGTGGGTAGCCAGGAAACCCTGGCCAAGTAGGTACTGATTTGGCTGAGGCCTAAAGGATGGGAAGGAATGGGCCATGATAAGACCCAAGGGAAGAGCTTTTCAGGTGGAGAGAACAGCATATGCGGAGGCCCTGAGGCAGGAATTACTGTATTCATGCGTGTGCCCCAAATGCGTGGAACACAGTGGGTCTTCAGTAATGAATGGATTAAAGGTGAAACCGGGTATGCGGGGTCTAGTTTGCTTTTTAGGATAAACTACAGAGTACATCGGGGAAACCACAGACATAGGTTAATCCGTAGCGAGGATGTTGGAATGGTTGCAGAATGGCTGGTTGACTCTCTTGTTGTTTGGATCATCGGTTGGTTGACGGGTTCATTAATTGGTTGATTGAAAGAGTTGATTGATTGACGGATTCACTTCGTTGATTGGTTGGTCAATTAGTTCATTGACCAGTCGGTAGACTGATTGGCTCGTTGGAGGGTTTACTCAATGGAGGAGATGAATGAAGCGGGGATGAGTGAGCACCCAGTTGGGTGGGAAACCAGGAACTCAAGGAACTTGTCCTTCTTCACTCCTCCAGGTGATGGCTTCTCGGACTGGATGACTGAGCGGGTTGACTTTACAGCCCTCCTCCCTTTGGAGCCCCCCTTACCCTCAGGTGCCCTCCCCCCACCTTCCCCATCCCCCCCTGACCTGGAAGCCATGGCCTCCCTCCTCAAGAAGGAGCTGGAGCAGATGGAAGACTATTTCCTTGATGGCCCACTTCTCCCACCGCCCTCCCCACCACCACAGCCGCTGCCGCTGACACCACCGCCACCACCGCCACCAGTGCCCTCCCTTCCTCTCCCCCTGCCCACCTTCGACCTCCCTCAGCCCCCTGCCCTGGATACCCTCGACCTGCTGGTCATGTACTGCCGCAACGAGGCTGGGCAGGGGGATGCAGGGTTGGCTACCCTTCCCCCAGCACAGCAGCCCCCTCCCCCACCTCCACCCTCTCGCCCGGCCCCCTACCCCAATCCTGCCACCACTCGAGGGGACCGCAAGCAAAAGAAGAGAGACCAGAACAAGTCAGCGGCTCTGAGGTACCGCCAGAGGAAGCGGGCAGAGGGGGAGGCCCTGGAGGGGGAGTGCCAAGGGCTGGAGGCGCGGAACCGCGAGCTGAGGGAGAGGGCCGAGTCCGTGGAGCGGGAGATCCAGTACGTCAAGGACCTGCTCATCGAGGTGTACAAGGCTCGGAGCCAGAGGACCCACAGCTGCTAGATGGGCAGGGCTTGGGGCTGGAGGGGGCGCTGGTCTTCACCTCTGTTTCTGGGGCTGAGGTGGGAGGGTTCCTCTGTCATCCCTCTGCCTCTAGCCTCTTTCCATCCCCCCATCTCTCTCCTTTTCTCCTTGTGTCCTTGTCCATTTCTGATTTTGCTCCCGTCTTCCCTCCCCAGAATCATGACACCTCTGGCCTTAGTCACTATCAACACTTCTCAGGTGACAGCTGAGGGACTGGGGCCCCGGGGAGCTCAGGGTCTGTCCAGCAGGGCAGTGAGGCCGGGAAGCTGAGCAGAGTGAGGGCAGATGAAGACGGGAGAGCCCTCTGGGGAAAAGTCAGGGAGGGCTTTAAGATCGACACCCACATCATTAAGCAAAAACAGCAAGCCAGGTGACCCTGGGAAATACATTGGTGCCGGGAGCCCGTTCACAGAGCTAGTGGCTGTGGGGGCAGATGGGGAGGCCGGCAGGGCGGGTGTGGCCATAGTTGGTGACTGGGTGTTCATTTAGCTCTGGGAGGAAAGCAGTGTTTTGTGAAATTGTTGGGGCGGGGCTCTGTGTAGGTGAGAGAGGACAGGAAGTGATCCTTGGGGTGTGGGGTGTGTGTGGTGGAAATAAAATGAAGAATTTCTTCAGTCTGTGTCTGGTCTTTGAGAGAAGTTGGAGAGAGGGCAGTCTTAGGCCAAAGACGGGAACGATGATCATAGAAGTAACAGCCCTGGCCCGGTAGCTCAGTTGGGTAGTGTTATCCGGTACCCCAAGGTTTCGGTTAGATCCCTGGTCAGGATACACACAAGAATCTACCATTGAATGCATAAGTAAGTGGAACAACAAATCGATGTTTCTCTCTCTCAAAACAAATCAAATAAAAATGTACAAAAAGAGAGCCCTGGCCTGTGTTTCTCAGTGGTTAGAGCAACCATCCACACACCAAAGGGTTGAGGGTTCGATTCCCGATTCCCAGTCCAGGCTGCATGCATGGGTTACAGGTTTGATCCCTGACCCCAGTCGCACATTCAGGAGGCAACCAACCGATGTGTCTCTCACATCTTTGTTTCTCTTTCTCTCCCCTTCCTTCTCTCTAAAATCATCCTCGGGTGAGGATTAACAAACAAAAAAAGAAATAGCATAATACTTACGGTCAGGACCACACACTTGGTACATGGCCAAGGCCATGACGGGACTGACTGAACCGATAATGATACAGCAGCCCTAGCCGGTTTGGCTCAGTGGATAGAGCGTCGGCCTGCGGACTGAAAGGTCCCGGGTTCGATTCTGGTCAAGGGCACATGCCTGGGTTTCGGGCCGGATCTCCAGTAGGGGGTGTGCAGGAGGCAGCCAATCAATGGTTCTCTCTCTCACTGATGTTTCTATCTCTCTCCTTCTCTGAAATTAATAAAAATATATTTTAAAAAAATGATACAACACCCCTTTTAGATTCAGACCACTAATTACTTGGCAAAACAAAGGATTGCCAAAGGTGCTGGCTCCCCATGGTTCTTGTCACACACAATGAAAAAGGTGACACCAAAACAGAGGGCGGGGCGGCTGCAACCGGAGTTGTGGGGCGCCCCATGCCGAGGAACCCCCTTTCTGGCTAAAGCCTCCCAGGTCGTCGGGAGGTAAGTGGGAGATGGGCTGGCAGCCGTGGTGGGCATGTTGCCCTACAGCTACTGAGGGTTTACCTTGTCCCAAGCACTATTTTAAGCACTTAGCACGCATTATCTCAGTTCACACAGAGGGAAGCTATTGTTAGCTTTCGATGAAGAGCCACTGTTAAAGTGATCAATGCAGTGGCATTGAGTGCGTTTGCAATGTTGTGCAACATCACCTCTCTCTAGTTCCAGAACATTTCAACCCTTACGCCCCCCCCCCCAATAAACCCCTGCCCATTCAGCAGTACTTCCCATCGCCCCTCCCCAATTAGCTGTTGGTTGACACTTGCAATCCCATGAACTGGGGGAAATGAGTGCGACTCTTGGTCACCCCTGATCCTTTAGCCTTTGGGGTCTGTCGTGGGTTGGTGGCCCCTCAGAAGATCTGTCCACAATCCTAACTCCCAGAATCTGTGAATGTGACCCTATTTGGAAAAAAGGCAGAGAGGAGCTCTAAATTCAATCATCAGGGTCCTTGTTAGAGACAGAGAGCCCTGACCGGTCTGGCTCAGTGGATAGAGCGTTGGCCTGCAGACTGAAAGGTCCCAGGTTCGATTCCAGTCAAGGGCATGTACCTTGGTTGCGGGCTCATCCCCAGTAGGAGGTGTGCAGGAGGCAGCTGATCGATGTTTCTCTCTCATCGATGTTTCTAGCTCTCTATCCCTCTCCCTTCCTCTCTGTAAAAAATCAATAAAATACATATTTTTAAAAAAAGAGACAGAGAAAGAACACAGAGAAGGAAAGGGCCCCGTAAAGGAGGCGGCGGAAATTGGAGTGATGCAGCCACAAGCCCAGGGATGGGCGACCACCAGGAACAGGAAGAGCCCAGGAAGGAGCCCCCTCAAGTAAGCATGTGGCCCGCCGGCGGCGAGTTTGACATGCTTGCCCTAGAGCGGTGATGGCGAACCTTTTGAGCTCGGCGTGTCAGCATTTTGAAAAAACCTAACTTAACTCTGGTGCCGTGTCACATACAGAAATTTTTTGATCTTTGCAACCATAGTAAAACAAAGATTATATTTTTGATATTTATTTTATATATTTAAATGCCATTTAACAAAGAAAATCAACCAAAAAAATGAGTTCGCCTGTCACCTCTGACACGCGTGTCATAGGCTCGCCATCACTGCCCTAGAGTCTTCAGAGGGAGTGGCCCTGCTGACACCTTGATTTCGGGTTTCTGGCCTCCAGAACTGAGAGAGTAACTGTCATTTTAAGGGACTAGCACCCACTTTTAAGTCTGTGGTAATGTTACGGCGCCCACAGGAAGCACACTGGGCACCAGTTTCTCATGATGAGGGTCATCTTCCTTTTAGGTAGCCCCTGGTTTTTCATTATCCTTCATCTCCTGAGCAGAATGAAGATTCTTTTAAAAATAGGCTCCGGGTTTTTGTCCACAGCCCCGCCTTCCTGTGGCTGGTCACCCTGAATATACGTAGCTGGGAGGACAGGGACCCTCGGAGCTTGAATTTAGTTTGAAGCATCCGTGACTGGTGTTGCTACCAGGCAGGAGCAGGTGGACATTTCCAGATCCAAGTTCAAGTTTGCCCGCAGCAGCCAAGGCCCTCGGGGCCAAGGGTCTTCAGTGGTACCTCCCCTTTAGGTTCCGGCATCCCCATGGACCTGGGCCTGGGCTGTCCTTGCCACCTGCTGCTCAGAAGATGACTTCCATGTTTGGGCTGTCACCTTTACATACATTAAAGTGAGATGGCTAGTTTGGACAATCTAGAATAGAAACACTTTTTTTTTTTTTTTTTAAAGAAACAGACTCTTCAGACTTTTTTTAAAAAGTACATTTTATTGATTTTTTTACAGAAAGGATGGGAGAGGAATAGAGAGTTAGAAACATCGATGAGAGAGAAACATCGATCAGCTGCCTCCTGCACACCCCCTACTGGGGATGTGCCCGCAACCAAGGTACATGCCGTTGACCGGAATCGAACCTGGGACCTTTCAGTTCGCAGGCCGAGGATCTATCCACTGAGCCAAACCGGCTAGGGCTCTTCAGACTCTTTCTCTCCACCTCAGTCACATGTCACATAGGAAGGCTTGCCATTTTTAGCCTGAGCTCTGCATGCCAGCCATTTACATTGTACATTACAGGCCAGTGCAGCTCAATCTTAGCAAAAATGGAGGAAGGACTAAATTAAACTTTGCTGGGCAACCCTGAGATTAGAAGCATCGAGTGGTTTTTCTTCTCCAGGATGAGGCAGAAGCGGGCACTGCAGGTCCAAGCTGTGTGGCCTTGAGCAGGTGTCTTGGCCTCTCTGAGCTCAGGTTCCTCATCTGGAAGTCAGGGATGGCTACGCTGGACCCGAGAGGCTGCAGATGTGGAGAGAAGGCACCTGGGCTGTGGAGGGGACCGGGCCTGGGGGCTAAAGCTTTCTCCATCATACTCTTCGTGAGCTAAAAAATGGCTCAGACGGGCACCCGTTATAGAGTCAGAATGCACTTAAAGGATTTTGACCAGCATTTAAAAATAGGAATACTAGAAAGAATAAAAACATGCAGGATAGGGTGGTATTTCGCGAAATTATGTTGATGTGAAATGATTTCTGACTGTGCATCAGAAAAGTTTGGGAGCCACAGTCGAGGCCCCCCACCTCGAGCCCCCCCCCCCAGCTCCACCCCCACCCTCACCCGCTCCCGCTGCGCACACTGGATAGCAACTCGCTTTGTCCTAAGCAAACATTTGGGGTCTGCGGGCCGCGCTGTCTTACACTCCGCCGCCTGGTGGCGCCCGTGCTCCGCCGTGAGCGGGTTCTGCTGGATCCTCTGTCCGAGGCAGTGATTGCCTAGTCGCCGGTTTACCGGGACCAGAAGCCCTGATCAGGAACATGGCCCGCGATCAAAGCGCGGCAGGAGGACTCCGTCAAAGGGATATGGTCACTCTGGGATCCATTCATCCCTCTTCATTCCGCAGGTTCCTTTTTAAAAAATATTAATAATATATTTTTTTATTGAATTCAGAGCGGAAAGGAGAGGGAGAGAGAGTAGAAACATCAATGATGAGAATCATTGATCAGTTGCCTCCTGCATGCCCCCTACTGGGGATCAAGCCCGCAACCCTGGCATGTGCCCTTGACGGGAATCGAACCAGGAACCCTTCAGTCCGCAGGCTGACGCTTTATCCACTGAGCCACACCAGCTCGGGCCGCAGGTTCTTTAAATGCCTCTGTGGGTCAGAGGAAGTCCCGCTCTCAGAGCTCACATCCCGGTGGGGAGGGCAGACAGGACCCCAAATCCACGACCTCTGCAGTACAGAGAGGCCTCCCCGCCCGCTTGGTCTGGGCAGGACAGATGCTGTGGAATCCCTGCTCCCGGCCCCCAGCCCCCAGCCGGCTGTGTGACCTGGGGCAGCTGGCGTAGCCTCTCTGTGCCTGTTTCCTCTGAGATAAAATGGGAACAGCACCTACTTCCTAGGGTCGTCCTGAGCACTAGATGAGTTAATACTCACAAAGCACCTCCAAGGGCGTGGTATGTACGGATCCGGCCCTAGAGCCGCCCCAGGGCTTCCATTGGAACTTGGTGGCTTAAACCAACTTGAGTGTGTTCTGTTACCCTTCCGGGGGGTTCAGGAGTCCAAACTGAGCCTCATGGGGTCAGATCAAGGTGTGGGCAGGGTTGGTTCATCCTACAGGTTCCCAGGAGGGAGAATCATTCCTGCATTCCAGCCTATACCTTGTGTCTGAGAGAGAGAGAGAGAGAGAGAGAGAGAGAGAGAGAGAGAGAGAGAGAGAGAGAAAGGGAGAGAGAGAGAGGTGATAGAGAGAGAAACATAAATCGGTTGCCTCCCATAATGCTCTGAGCTGGTTTGGAAACGAGGTATGTGCCCTGACCTGGAATTGAACCTGCAACCAATGTGCTGTAGGGAGGATGCTTCCACCTACTGAGCCATCCGGCCAGGGCTATCTATTTCCACCTGTAAAGTCCTCCCAGACAGATGTACCATTTCCTCCCCTGAGGAAGTGCATAGTAGATATTTGTGATGGGCATCTTTGAATGTTTCAGGAACATTGTAAGTTTTGATGTGACCATGACATCTTTATACCATCCTGTGTTTCGTTGGTCACTGTCCTATATGGATGCATTTGAGTTTTGCAATGTGATTTTGTCTCTAGAAACCTTGCTGACTCTCTTCTCAAGCCCCTACATGTGTCTGTATGTACTTGTGGATTTTCCTATGAAGACACAATCCTTGATGGAGAAAGTCAGCTTTATTTTCTTTCAAATTTCATAGCTTTTACTTATTGTTCTTGCCTTGCTGGACTCGGACCCAGTGCTGCTGCTGTGTTAGGTGTGGAGTTTGCTGAACTCATCCTCTATTCCACCAGGGGAGCCTCCTGCATCCCTAGCTGACTGTGATGTTATCCTGAAGGCCTTTGACATCCCCCAACCCCCACCCGCGCTCACTGGTTCCTCCCTTGAGATTCCATCAGTCCAGGGCAGCGAGGCACACAGAAGCCCCACTATGTGCTCCAGCAGCGGGAATGTAATGTCAGGGTTTGTGATGCCCGGGTTGGGACACAGATGGAGCAGAAAGGGAACACTTCCCATCAGCCTGGGTGGGGCTCTGAAAAGGGACCCAGCGATGAGGGGCCAGGACGGTGGATTTTCATGAACTTTCAGGCGGCAGTGCTGCTGCTGTGCTGAGGTCCCGCCAAATGGGGCGTCTGTTTCCGATGGGACCTTCGAGCCAACACAAGTGTGTCCCACGTCCCCAAAAAGCCCTCAGAGCAAAGAAAGGCCTTTAACTCTCAGCTTAGCCCCTGGGTTCCACCCTCCACTGGACTTGGATCTAAAATCTTTTCTCTTTTGCCAGCACTTGTTACAAAAAAATATTAAAATGATCCTTTTCCAGAATGTTCGACAGTTCCAGCTGGAGGACGGGTCCCCGCCCCGAGTCCCCAGGGCCAGCTCTGAGTGTGCTGGCCCCTGGGCAACCTCCGTCCCCACTTACACATCCTCTGCAAGGTGGTCACTTTCCGATTCACATCTGGACACACCACTCAGCCTGTCAGGGCCTCAGTGCATTTACCTGCAGGGTTGGGGGGTGACGTGGGGTTGAGGAGGGGAGACAGGAAGATTTCTCAGGCACTACACCCCTCAACTCCTGTGGAGACCAAGTTCCCCTTCCAGCCTGGCCCCAGTCTCTTCCCCAGGGCTTCCTGTTGGGGCGTCCTAGGCCCCACCCCAGAGCTGGGCACTTCCCTCCCTGACAGAGGGTCCTGGACTCACTCTGCGCTGCCAGAGGCAGACATGGTGCCCCTGCTGCTGCTGCCCCTGCTGTCGGGGGGTGAGTGGCTGAAGGAGGGGGGCAGGGCAGGTGGGGGAGGAGCGGAGGTTGCACCTGAGCTTCTGTGTCCCCCTCCCCCAGGGTCCCTGCAGCAGCAGCATCCAGGCTATGAGCTCCACGTGCAGGAATCCGTGACGGTGCAGGAGGGTCTGTGTGTCCACGTGCCCTGCTCCTTCTCCTACCCGTGGAGTTCATGGAATTCCTCTAGTGAACTCTACACCTACTGGTACCGGGTCGGGGAAATCATGGGCTATGCTGCTCCTGTGGCCTCGAAGAACCGGAATAAAACCGTGAAGACAGAGACCCAAGGCCGCTTCCTCCTCGCGGACCCCACGACCAACAACTGTTCCCTGGACATCAGAGACGCCAGGAAGAGTGACAGAGGACGCTACTTCTTCCGAGTGGAGAGAGGAGGTTCTGTGAGATATAATTACCTAATGAAGAAGCTGGATTTGCAGGTGACAGGTAAGGCAGGGACCCAGGGACATGGGACCCGTCTTAGAGCAGGAACAGGACACTGGACACTCCCTGTCCAGGCCGTGGGCCCTGGGTGGTGGGAAGAGACACAGGGCCTGGGTGAGCTCAGCCCAAGGCAGGGCCTCTCTCAGGGTCCCACTCTGAGTCCCCACCCCTGGAGCCCAGTCACCTGCCTTTCTCCCCTGCAGCCCTGACAGAGAAACCCCACATCCGTGTACGGGAGCCTCTGGAGTCCGGCCGCCCCACACAGCTGGCCTGCAGTCTGCCAGGGGCCTGCGAAGGGGGACGACCTCTCACCTTCTCCTGGGTGGGAGCCGCTGTGGACTCGCTGAACCCCCAGACCCTCCGCTCCTCGGTGCTCACCTTCACCCCGAGGCCCCGGGACCATGGCACCAGACTCACCTGTCAGGTCCAAGTCCAAGGATCTTGGGTGGCCACGCAGAGAATCATCCGGCTCAATGTCTCCTGTGAGTGTTGGAGGGGGGGCTGGGTCCGTGGGGGCAGTGGAGTGGCCTCTGTGTGTGTGTGTGTGTGTGTGTGTGTGTGTGTGCTGGAGGCTGAGCTAACCTGAGAACACCCTGGCATGGATGTGCCTGTAGGGGGGAGGGGCCAGAAAGACAGATCCCATCCTTCCCCGTTCCCACTGCCCCTCCTTGGGATTGGGGTAACTTCCATCTGAAGTGGGGCCTTGTCTTTATATCCCAGATGCCCCTCAGAACCTCACCATAGATGTTTCCTTAAGAAATGTCACAGGTAGGAAAGAACCCCTCCTCTGGGTCTGGGACCTGCCCTGGGCAGTGGTGGGGCAGAGGGGGGAGCAGTAGTTTGAATGGGATGAGACATGGGAAGGGCAAGGATGAAAGTCAGCACCCGAGTCCCTCACCTCTGGGTGCCTGACCTCCTGTGTTCCACCTCTCTCTCTCTCTCTCTCTCTCTCTCTCTCTCTCTCTCTCTCTCTTCCCTTCCCCCACCCCTCCTCCACTTCTTTCTCCAAAGCCCTCAAGATTCTGCAAACCACATCTCTTTCCATCCTGGAGGGAGAGGCCCTGAGGCTGCGCTGTGTGGCTGACAGCTACCCCCCTGCGGAGCTGAGCTGGTTCCGGGAGGCCCCAGGCCTGAACGCCACCCCCATTTCCAGCACCGCGATCCTGGAGCTGCCTCGCATGGGGCCTGCACAGGAAGGAGAGTTCACCTGCCAAGCTCGGCACCCGCTGGGCTCCCACAGGGTCTCTCTCAGCCTCTCCGTGGTCTGTGAGTGGGGAGACCCCGGGGGGCAGGACAGCGGGGTTCTGGGGAGATTAGAGGCACCGCTGACCCTTCCCATCGTTCCTCACTGACCCCCTGCAGCTGCTGGGACCCTCCTGCTCCTGGGAGGACCAGGGTCTGCGCTGCAGCTGCTCCTCCGGGGCCCAGCCGGCCCCCTCCCTGCGCTGGCGGCTGGGGGCGGGGCTGCTGGAGGGGAACCATGGCAACGCGTCCCACGTGGTCAGCTCCCCCTCAGCGGGGCCCTGGACCAACAGCTCCCTGAGCCTCCACGTGGGGCTGGAGGCGGAGGGGAGTTCACCTGCCGGGCTCAGCACCCGCTGGGCTCCCAGCGCATCTCCTTCAGCCTCTCTGTGCAGAGTGAGGTGCAGGACAGGTGTGGGGCGGCCACCTGGTCAGGTGTTGGGCTGTGGGTGGACTGACACCTGGACAACACGTCACCCTTCTCCCGCGTCCCCAGGCAGCCCGCACTCCAGCAGATGTGTGACCGAGGAGCAGCAAGGCTCCTGGCCCCTGGTCTTCACCCTGATCAGAGGGGCCCTCATGGGGGCTGGCTTCCTCCTCACCTACGTCCTCACCTGGCTCTACTACACCAGGTGAGCAGGCCTGTCTCTCCTGGGGAAGGTCAGGGATTGGCCCTGAGGTGCAGGTGGGGCCGAGCTGTCCGGCTCTGCCTGGAGTTAGAGCGAAAGTGGCCGAGTCTCTGAGCTGACACCTGTGTGGGCCCCGCAGGTGTGGAGGCCCCCGGAACAGGAGGCAGAGCTCCTGATGGATCCTCCCTTCCTCTCAGGATGGGACTGAGGTGCAGACACCAGGCGAGAGGGACCGTCCTGGGACGTCAATGGCACCTTCTCCTTGGAAGCTCTTTTTTAAAATTTTTATTAAATCTTTATTGTTCAGATTATTACAGTTGTTCCTCTTTCTCCCCCCACCCCATAGCTTCCTTCCACTCGATTCCCACGCCACCCTCTGCCCTTACCCGCCCCCCACACTGTCCTCATCCATAGGTGCACGATTTTTGTCCAACCTCATCCTGCACCCCCACACTCCTTCCCCCCCCAGAATAGTCAGTCCACTCCCTTTCTATGCCCCTGATTCTATGATATTCACCAGTTTATTCTGTTCATTCGATTATTTATTCACTTGATTTTTAGATTCACTTGTTGATAGATGTGTATTTATTGTTCATAATTTGTATCTTTACCTTTTTCTTCTTCTTCCTCTTCTTAAAGGATACCTTTCAGCATTTCATATAATACTGGTTTGGTGATGATGAACTCCTTTAGCTTTTCCTTATCTGTGAAGCTCTTTATCTGACCTTCAATTCTGAATGATAGCTTTGCTGGATAAAGTAATCTTGGTTGTAGGTTCTTGGCATTCATCACTTTGAATATTTCTTGCCACTCCCTTCTGGCCTGCATAGTTTCTGTTGAGATATCAGCTGACAGTCCTATGGGTACTCCCTTGTAGGTAACTGAGTTTCTTTCTCTTGCTGCTTTTAAGATTCTCTCTTTGTCTTTTGCTCTTGGCATTTTAATTATGATGTGTTTTCATGTGGTCCTCTTTGGATTCCTTTTGTTTGTGTGCTTCCTGGACTTGTCTATTTCTTTCACCATGTAGGGGAAGTTTTCTGTCATTATTTCTTCAAATAGATTTTCAATGTCTTGCTCTCTCTCTTCTTCTGGCACCCCTATAATTCGGATGTTGGTGCGCGTGAAGTTGTCCTAGAGGCTCCTTACACTATCTTCATATTTTTGGATTATTTTTTCTTTTTGTTTTTCTGGATGGGTGTTTTTTTCTTCTTCATATTTCAAATCTTTTGAGGGCAAGTGGAGTGGCTGGGACTATGGGCTCAGGATGGGTCGGTTGCATCTGAAGTTCTTTGCTCTCTGAGAATGGGCAGCCCCTGGGAGGCCCTGTGTCTCCTTGGCTTCCAATCTGTTTAATGGCTCAAAACATCATAAGATACAGAAATAAACAATAATACACACCCACTGACTGCCCCCTTCTTTCTGCCTGTGCTTCTCCCATTTGACTTGTCCCCTCTTCCCCCCTCTTTCTTTCTCTCTGTTGGTTCTGCCCACTCATCCCCCCACCCCCTGCTCCTCTCTCTCCATTCTCAGGCCCAGAGACGGACTGAAGTTGGCACCTTATCCTCCTCTTGCCCAGAAGTTACCTGGTCACCACCTGAGCTTCTGGTCTCCCATCTGTAGGTGCTGATACACAGTAGAGTTAGGAGCCGCTCTCCTCTCCCTGTGCATAGACGCCAACCTCAGAATTATTGTCATAACACATCCCAGCATTTAATCATAAATGAGAACGTTTATGTGATATCACATGGCCATTGATTTTACTCTTTAGTGTCGGTTGGAGTTTCTTGAGTCCAATTACACCTGGATCTCCTCTTTTTGTTGTTGCTGCTGTTAGACCTGTTTCAAGTGAGGGATTTTGTTTATTCCTTGTACTTATTCTTAATTGGTATTTATATCTCTTCTTATCTTTTAAAATATTTTTGTTGATTTCTGAGAGGAAGTTGGAGGGAGAGAGCGATAGAAATATCAATGATGAGTCATTGGTCGCCTGTTTCCTCCACGTCCCCTACTGGGGAGGAAGCCCATCACCCAGGCAGGTGCCCTGACCTCTTGGTGCATAGATTGATGCTCACCCCCTCAGCCTCACTGGCGGGACTATATCTATTCTTGAATAATCAAAAATTTCAACATTTAAGACACATCCACCTATACTCTCACCATTTTGTATTGTTATTGCATATAACTTACAGCTATAAATTTGATAAACGTTAGAGAACATTAATAATTACTTGGATGTACACAATTATTTTATTTCCAGATTAACTGAGATATTTTTGATATAGAATGCATGCAAGTTTAAGGTGTGCAATGTGCATATTTGATGCACCTATATAGTGAAGTGATTATCACAATAAGGTTCATCCACACTTCCATCCTCTCATGTAATTACCATTGTTATGGTTATAACACTGATGATGTGTAACCATAACACCTTTCAGGTGTATAACAAAATACTGTTAATTGTACTTGCCATGCTGTCCAGCACATCCCCAGGAATTGTTCCTCTTGTAGCTGAAAGTTACCCTTGACCAACATCTCCCCATTTCCCCACCCCCAGCGCCTGCATCACCGTTCTCCTCTCTTTCTGTAAATTCAGCATCTTTAGGTTCCACTGTGAGAACACACTGCAGGAAAACAATGACTATTTTCAAAAATACCCCTATAGTTGTTCCTCTCACGCAGTTCTGGGTTTCCATCACAGAATCACTTTCCTCTGTGCAAAAATGCATTAAAGACCTAAATATAATACCATCCACTATAAACTCTTAGAGGGAAACATAGGGGGAATCCCAGCACATTGGATTTTGCAATGATTCCCTGCATATTTACATTGAAATCACAGACAAGGGAAGCAAACATAGACAAGTGGGACAGAGGACACTCTCACCAGACTCCAGACTACAGGATGGGAGCGAAGCTGTATCTGTTAAGGAGTTAACATCCAGCATGGATTACAAACTCACACAAGACAACATAAGAACCCCAAGTAACACCATTGAAGAAAAGGCTAAAACCTTGACTAGACATTTCTCCAAAGATGATGGACAAATGGCCAACAAAGTCATGAAGAGAGATGCAACATCAGCAATCCTACAGAACCATGAAAGAACTCCTTAGGGGCCTGTGGGAGTCTTACTTGGTGCATCAGGACATTAATATTCAAAACCCCACATCAGATTCCTTCACGGACAAGGAAGGTATGGGGAAGACGCATAGTAGGCCCCGGTACAGAAAGTGATGGGGGAAGTGTAGTGATATTCAGGTCCAAAGTCACACACCCAAAACTAGCATTAGAAATTTTATGTCATGTGAGTCTCACTTCCACAAAAGTTTCGTCATTAGTTTATTTGTAAATTGCGCGCGCGCACACACACACACACACACACACACACACACACACACACATACACATACACAGTCCTCTCTCTGGGATGAATTCTGTGGCCCCTCTTGAGTGTGAAAATGGTTGCTTTCTTCCCCCAGTTCTTTTGTGAGGGCTGCTTTAGGATGGGCCTTGTGCTCTGAGGTGAGTCAGCCTGGCCCCTTCTATGTCCCTGGGGCCCATCTTACCTGGCATAGCTTATGGGGAAATGTCCTCTTCTGCATTTCTGTCTATACTTTGTGGCTTGGGGGGGGGGGCGAGAGAGAGAGAGAGAGAGAGAGAGAGAGAGAGAGAGAGAGAGAGAGAGAAACATAAAGCAGTTGCTCCCATACTTGCTCTGAGCTGGTATGGAAATGAGGCATGTGCCCTGACTTGGAATTGAACCTGCAACCAATGTGCTGTTGGGAGGATGCTTCCACCAACAGAGCCATCCGGCCAGGGCTATCTATTTCCACCTGTAAAGTCCTCCCAGACAGATGTACCATTTCCTCCCCTGAGGAAAGGCATAGTAGATATTTGTGATGTGCATCTCTGAATGTTCCAGGAACATCATAAGTTTTGATGTGACCATGACATCTTTTATACCATCCTGTGTTTTGTTGGTCACTGTGCTATCCGGATGCATTTGAGTTTTGCAATGTGATTTTGTCTCTAGAAACCTTGCTGACTCTCTTCTCAAGCCCCTACATGTATCTGTATGTACGTGTTGATTTTCCTATATAGACACAATCCTTGATGGAGAAAGTCAGCTTCATTTTCTTTGGAATTTCCATAGCTTTTACTTATTGCTCTTGCCTTGCTGGACTCGGACCCGGTGCTGCTGTGTTAGGTGTGGGGCTTGCTGAGCTCACCCTCTTTCCCACCAGGGGAGCCTCCTGCATCCCTAGCTGACTGTGATGTTCTCCTGAAGGCCTCTGACATCCCCCCGTGCTCACTGGTTCCTCCCTTGAGATTCCATCAGTCAAGGGCAGTGAGGCACACAGAAGCCTCACTATGTGCTCCCGCAGTGGGAA